ATACACACACACACACACACACACATATATATGTATATATATTTATATGTATATAATATATATATACATATATATATATATATAAATAGTATGTATATGCCTGAGATTGGGAGCAATTTCTTTTTGTGTTGTTAATATACCCATAAATTGCTAACCCTTGTTGCTAGTGGACGTTTTCGCACGCTGGTGTAGCGGATAACAAGCGGTTGTATTCGTTACCTTTGAGGTTTAGGGGCGGTCGTTGAGCAGATGCTTCTAGCTTATGGAGATTGGTTGCATCGTTATGTTGTAGCGTTGTACCGCACAGTATTTCGTGCCCCATATTTGAGAGGTTTGAATACTTCTTTGGCTATGTGCTTTCCAATTATATGCCGGTAGCACTATATATGTATGTTTTTCTGATCTCAGGAAGTCTCATCGGTAACAAATGTAAACGTTCTTAATGAATGTCTGCACGTGCTGATCGTAATGCTAGACGCGAATCGCATACTTGGTAAAGCACCGAATTTTCGATCTTATATCTGAGTTTTATTTCACTCGCCTCCACAGCCTGGAAAAAGAACACTGTCCACGCCACAATACACGTGATGTCAATTTTCCGACAAAAATTTCATTTTCACTGGTCTTCTGCATGTAATCTTGCACTCATTAGCTGAAACCTCGTCAGAGGTCATCCTGTCACACCCGAAGATGGGATGGACACCTATCCCTGTTGTGCACTCCAAATACACTGATCCCATTCCGAACATGACCGCCGTAGTGGCCGATGTAGTCGATCCAAGGGATGCATCAGTGGCTGTAAAGTATGTGCAAGCCGTTGCCTGTGTGTTGTTGTCCGCGCGATTATTTCGGGACCACTGCCACTACTGATTGGAAAGCAGTACAAGATTGCATGTGAGTGTCAATTTGCACATATTAAGATCGGATACAACGTATTAATCAGTATTGGTAGAGTGTATGTCTCCAGTTTGTGCTTGCTCTATTCTTTGGGCCAATGTGACCGTTCCGAATCTAGATTCAGTGACTTCAGGCCAAATATCTCTAGGAGCGTCTCAGTTTGAAAGCCGGCGGAATGTCGTGCTGATGGCACAGTATTTGCTTCATGTGTAGTATAAACTAGCAAGTCATACTGCTTAAAGTTGTGTATTCCTAGCACAAGCAGGACGTGGACTTCCTATAATATCCTTTTGTGCGTATTATTTCAACTGCCATACAATAAAACTCTGCATGTGAAAAGGGTTTTAGTGTGCCATACAACCGTGTACGAGTGTGGGGATGTACACACTCATGTCTGCACAAAACCCACACACGACTACGCCTATATACCATTGTGATTTGAAAATCGCCCTCTTTCTCCCTATCTGGATTTATGGCTGGTGCTGCTAGACGAATGCCATGTAATGCGGGTATGAGCTGAGCACCAATTCGTGCTATAGCGAGTCTGGCCATTGGTGCATGCACGTGAGCGATATGTTGATATCATAGATGATTTCGATAGTTCCGCTGACGTACCATTGAGAGACTGACTGCTCCATATAAGGTGTATCTCTAGTATGGGACAGTGCCTGGTCGATATCTTGATAGCAACAATAACATTGAAGTCCCGCGAACAGCATAGCAGTTTATACTTAACGGAAAGTCAGTTGCTATATAGACATGCGGTTTGTCTTGCATATCATACACATCGAACTTATCTTCAGGATAGAATTCACGAGACCAGCCATATGATCACATAGCTCACACAAGCCCTCCCAATTTTTCAACAGGATTCGGGCAATGCTTCAAACAAAAGACTCGATAGATGCTGCTCACTTGAAGGCCGTTCGAAAACTCAAGAATTCGAAGTTGATGACCGTATTCCTGTGCTGTTTGGCAGATGTACCGGATACCGCCGACTTACAGACACACATACGAGATCAAGGTGTAGATACGACGATCCTCACAAATGTACGCGTGCTGTCTACAATATACTTTGAAGCAACACTTTATGCCTGTGTTTTCGCCAGATTCCTTGAAGTGTATTGCATGGTTTTATACTGATAGTAGAGATAAACATGTATTTGGATATCACCTCGTATATATGTGACTGGTAATAAGCCAGGAGCTCAATGAAAGCTTGCTATGGAATACAATAATTCTTCTTTCAAGATTTCTTTAAGCCGACGCATACCCAAACCATTTGCAGGTCATTAAAGTATCGCGAGTGTATTGTTTCACACAAGTAATTTGCGAGATACTATTTCCGAGTACAAGTACCTTGTACTCCTCATCACGCAACGCACATTGATGTATGTCGGAAGTTAATGAAGAACATACGATGTATTCAGGCTCTCAGAGAATACAAGGTGATTACTTATACTGGTTTGTGTTCTTGTTTTGATCTCAGATTAGGGAAATGCCTGTTCCGGCGTACAAGCCATACACCAGAGCTCAATTTAACGCCGCACAAGACACCTGGCCCACCGTTTGGTACCCATGCGATGAAGCGTAAGTTTACCTAAACGTACATACATATATACTTATATACACACACACACACACACACACACACACACACACACACACACACACACACACACACACACACACACACAC